GCACTTGCCTACCAGGCATGAGGTCTTGGGTTCAATCCCTAGTACAAAACAAAGGAGGTGGGGAGGAAAAAAGATTGATACATATCCCTGGGAAGGGATGAATCCAGGTTTTGTGGGACCTGACACCACGCCACATTTAGCACTTTTTAAAGAACAATACAAGGTGGCACATGCCTGTAATCACAAATCAGGAGGTTGAGGTAAGAGGATCACAAGTTGGAGGTCAACCTCAGCAATTTAGCAAGGTCCCCCAGCAACGTAACATGACCTTGTCTCAAAATAAAATATAAATAAAAAGGTGATGTAGCTCAGTAGCAAAGTGCCTCTGGGTTCAAGCCCCAGCCTCCCCCCCAAAAGAACAATACAAAATTATTAATAAAATAAGGTTTGAAGCTGGGTGTGGGAGTGCCTTCCTATAATCCCAGCAGTTTGGGAGTCTGATGATGAGAAATGAGGCCAGGGAGGTACGGCAGGTCCAGAAGGCTTACCAGTTGGTTGTGGAGATCAGAGGTTCGAGGCAAACAACTTACCGAGGCTCTAAGCAACTTAGTGAGACCCTGTCTCAAATAAAAAATAAAAAGGGCTGGGGATGTGGCTCAGTGGCTAATTGTCCCTGGGTTCAATCCCTGGTACTGAAGGGGGGAAAATGAGGTATGAATGTGAATATTTAAAATAAGAAAATAAATTTAGATAATTTTAAAAGCTGACAGATACCACAAATTCAGAAAAATAACATTTTCTGAAAATGAACTGCCTGACACATTTCCATAATACTTTTTCTTGTATGTTTGTCAACATAGGCTTTAATTGTTTCTTCATATGACATTGATGGTGTACATTTATTACTGAGAGAGATTTTGTTTGACAAATGAGTACTGAATCATTCACTTACAGTTTTACATTGTCAAGTGATTAGAGGATTTTTTGCAAACCAACTGCTAAATCTATACATTTCAAACCTGTTTCTCCTCCATTGTTCAAAAGTTCCCAGCCCCAGGTGTGATAGGACATTCATATCATTATCCACCTCTGGTTCTGCACCTCTGTTTCATGACTCAGGGTGAACTGGCCCAGGAAGTGGTAGAGAGTATTCCTGGGAGCCATTCCTATAGCAGGACAGCTGGAAATCGTTTCATTATATATGGAGGTTACCCGAAATCACAAGAATATATGCCACGAATCCCAAACTGAACATGTCCCTAATTCACTTTTCTGGATTTCAAAATTGCCAAGACCATTGTAACACCATCCAATATCAAGTGCAGAGGGGTGGAGAGAAGGTCTGGTCACACCTCAGACCCCAGCTGGAGGAAGGGAGATGTTCCATTTAAAAAAAGAATGGAAATGTAATCAGTGCACGGGGGCTGGGATTTTGAAAGCCAAAACAAGGAGAGCATCTATTTATTTATCCACAAAGTGCAGGAACCGGGAAGACATGATTCATCAAAGTGGGTTGGGAGGATATGGAGGATATGGGAAGAAAGAAGTTCCTTTCTCTTTGCATCTGTGGGATCTGGCTCATCCACAGAATTTGCCTCCATCTCTCTCAGGAGTACCAGCGCCATGAAATAGGCAACTTGTCAGCCTTCTTTACCAAGCTACCCACCATACAGTAGGTCCTCAATAAATCTTTTTCAAACAAGTGCCAGGCTCTTGAGTAACAAAGATGCATAAGCCCCAAAACCTTCCCTCAGCAAACTGAGTCCAGTGGGTGCTGCAGACTGGAGAAGAAACAATTTCAACACAATGCATTAAGCATCTCCTATCCTCTGAGGGAAGGCTTCTTGGAGGACATTAGATGAGGTATGTGGGACAATCCAGAGTTTATGTGGGGCAGAGACACTGAGATGGGAGGACAAAGAGTGTAGAGAATGGTAAGAGGGATGTGATGGGAAATGAGGCCAGGGAAGTACGGCAGGTCCAGAAGGCTTACCTGTTGGTTGTGGGGAGCCATTGAAGGGTTCGGGCTAAGAATAGCATTACCAGGATCAATTGGACCAAGATAACTGATGGATCAGAGGCAAGGAGACCAGTCGGACACTCTTGACATGGTGCAGGGAGAGGTAATGTCATCCTGGCTGACCTTTGGGCTACAGGTGATGGAGAAGGAAAGGAGAAGTGATTTGGGAAAAAAAAATTAGCATGTCAAATCAGCAGGATTTGGTCATTAATTAGAGGGGAAAGAGATGGAGTGTGTGGTGGCTTCCAGATTTCAGGCTCAAGAGACTGAGGCAGTGATGACCCTCTGAGCTCAGGGCTAAGCTTATTAGAGAAAACCATTCATTTTTAGACTAGTTGTATACAATGTTTTATTTGGTCCTTTCTCTTTCTCGACATACCACCTACCTCCTTTAAGTTTTTCTATGTTTTATTAATTCTCTATTGGGACATCTGAACAATTTTTGTAAATCCTAGCATTCCTGGAAGAAATCTCATTTGGTTGTGGTGTATAACTGCTGAATTTAGTTTGTTAATGCTTTGTTGAGAATTTTTGTATCAATATTCACAAAGGATATTGGTCTTTAGTTTTTGTATAGTGTCCTTGTCTAACTTTTGTATCAGGGTTATGCCAGTCCTATAGATCAATTAGAAAATATTCCCTCACCGGGTGCAGTGACTCCCAGCAACTCAGGAGCTGAAGGCAGGAGGATTTCGAGTTCAAAGCCAGCCTCAGCAGATTAATGAGGTACTTAGACTCAGCCAGATCCTGTCTCTAAATAAAATATTCAAAATGGCTGGGATATGGCTCAGTGGTTAAGTACCCCTGAGTTCAATTCCTGGTACCAAAAAAGAAAGAAAAAATATTCCCTCTTCAATATTTGGGAAGAGTTTGAAAAAGATTAGCGTTAGTTCTTTAAATGTTTGGTAGAGTTCCCAAATGACTTTATGTCACCTAGGGCTTTTATTTATGGGGAAGTTTTTGATAATTGACCCAAATCTCATTATAGGTCTGTTTAGATTTTCTATTTCTTTCTGTTTTAGTCTTGATAGGTTTTGTGTTTTTCAGAATACTTTCATTTTATTTAGGTTATTCAATTTTTAGCATATAGTGGTTGGTTCATAGTATATTCTTTTATAATCCATTTACATTTCTGCTAAATCAACTATAATGTCCCACCACAAATAATATTTGTAGCAAACATCTCTGTGTCAGGAATGCTTTGTTGGAGCCTGGAGATCTATCTCTGAGTGAGACCCCATGACCACACAGATCTTACAATCCAGTGCATTTAAAATGTGATTTAGAGACCAAAGTTGTATAACACTCCATTTTCCAGAATTATGTTAACCATACATATAAATTTAAGATATTGATTCCCTAAGCACATTCAGTGAAAGCCCTTATGACTCAGTGTAACCAATCCTACGAGTTGTTTCTATTATGTATTTGTTACAGGTCTCCCATCTCCCAATGTTTCTGGTAAATCTTGGAGACAGAACCAACTTGCAGACTCAAACTCAGGCCTGAGGAGTTTGGCCTTATTTTCCTGTGTGTTGAGTTCTAATATCACATAGTAAAGGGCATGGAATGTTTTTTTTTTTAATATACGTATATACCTTTGTAGCCACTAGTAGATCAATATAAAATTTTTCCATCTTCTAATAAACACCCTAATACATGTCTATGACATGGGAGCAGATTTGGACTATTAACATCATTCTGGCACCATGGAGAGTAAGGAAACAGGCTCTGAATTTTTATCTGGGTGCTTTGGCTGGAGGAGTAGTCCAGGAATTTTGCTGTAAGGAGTGGCTCTGATGTTCACGTATTCTGCAAAATTGGCCTGGAGGGCTGGGATTGTGGCTCAGCGGTAGAGTTGCTTGCCTAGCACGCTCGGGGCCCTGGGTTCGATCCTCAGTACCACATAAAAATAAGTGAATGAAATAAAGGTATGGGTCCAACTACAACTAAAAAATAAAATAAAATATTTTAAAAATTGGCCTTGAACACTCCAACAAATTTGAGTTGTGTTTACACACACACACACTCAATTTTATGGAGCATTCAAGTGCTGATTGCTAGAGCATCCAGAGATAAAGAAGCTGCAGATCATGCCCTTCTGGAATACAGCACGTGTGACTGTAGTCCAAAGACCTCCACCCCTACTGTGGTTTTAATGTGTACCCTCTAAAACTGATATTAGAAACATAATCCCCAGTTCGACAGAGTTGGGAGGTGTCTGGGAGCACCTTCCTGTGCTGTTTTAAAATGAGCCTGGGGGTTGAGTTTGCTCTTCGGCTTTGTGAGCACATGACATTTCTTCCCTACAGAGGACCAGCATTCAAGTCACCATCTTGGAAGCAGAGAGATGGGACCCTTAATTGCCGACACCTTGATCTTCAGCTTCCCAACCTCCAGAGCAGTAGGAAATACATTTCTTTTCATCATAATTACCAGAGTCGGCTTGGGAGGATCAGACAGGAGGATTGTCAGTTCAAAGCCATACTCGGTAATTTATTGAGACCCTAAGTAAAATATACAAAAGGGATAGGGATGTGGCTGAGTGGTTAAGGGTCCCTAGGTTCAAACCCTGGTACAAAAAACAAATTACCCAGTCTGATATTATATTAGATATTAAAATAGCTGCCCTATTCTTTTTTATCTTCCTTCTCAGAAAGTCCTACTTCCATCCTTTCCTTCCTTGCCATGGTGTCACTTTCTCTTACCTGAAGTTAGGTCAGGGCCAGGGTTCATCTTCACTCTGATCATCTTGTTCTACTCCTGTTGCCTCAAGCCATAGCCTTCAGAGCTGCCAATTTTCTTGTGTATCCAGGAAGTAGATCCAGAGAGATGGGATTGGAAGAATATGGGCTATTCAGGCTGGAGAGAGCACCATTAGAGATAGGGTTCATTACTGACCTTGAGGATATGGAAGGGATTTGTAAGAAGAAAGTGGGCCAGTTGCTCCAGTCGGTGAACAAGCAATAAGAATGTCAGGCTTAGGTTAGGAATGGAAATACAGTGTTTGGAGACTAGGAAGAAAATCTTTGTCCGACGTATGGTCAAGACAGTGAATGTGGTCTCCATGCTGGACCTCTCAGAGGAGAACACAGACAAGCAGCACCTCGAAGGAGAGTTGAGTGGTTCTCCTGATGCCAGGCAATGGTCTCTAACTCAGCAGTTCCATGATTCTGTGATGTCACTGAAGAGAGAAGAAATGGAAGCTGGGCTTGGCTCCAGCTGCTCCAGTTCCTCTCCCCTCTGGATTCAGATAATTTTTGGGGTGAGGGGAGGTGAGCTGAGTGATCAACAGGTCCCAGCTCAGTCTCCCCTCTGTCCACCTCAGCCCCCACCACATTTATGGAGAGAAACTAGCCAGTGTGAGTCACACCACCAACACAAGCAGAGTGTCTTTTATGAAGCTCAGCTGATCAAAAGAACAACAATGAAAGCAGCCTTTTTTTTTCCTTCTGTTTCTAGAAAACTTAAAGAACAAAAGAACTACATTCAAACTGAGCTGCAGAAGGCTTTGGGGAATCTATGGTTGTGAAAGTGGACATATCGGCTGGCAACCGTATTAGCTTTGAGGCCACAGCATTCACTTTCTTCATCATCCTTCTAATTTGCCTCATTTGCATCCTCCTTTTATTGGTGGTTTTTTTATATAAATGGTATAAATCCATGTTGATAAGTTGGGATCAGATTTCAAATCACACTAGCATATGTATCTAGAAATGATATAAAACAAAATAGAAGAAGTAATGCTGCAGTTATGTTTGTTTTCCTTTTAAGGGTTTTTAGAAATGCTAATTTCCAATTAAAGTGAAATTCCCAAGCCAGAATCAGGGTCATTTTTCCTTTTCTGAATTTTTTGCTTATTTGTTTTCAGTTTTCAAGGCAAGAGAGAAGAGACAGAAAAAATTCCTTGTACAGATGCTAATGGAGGTGAAGAGTGTTCGCCTGCTAATGTGGAGAATAATACAGGAGGCCAAGAAAAGTCTGTACCTGAGGATGTGGTAGAAAGTCATTTTTGTAGATGATAATGTAGACTAGGGTGCATGGATTTTTAAAACCCTGCTGGTTGATTTTTCCAGGGTTATAATGGAAATCATGGGCATGAATGCACCAGTGAGGCACGGCATTCTTGTCCAGAGACGGAATAAGGAAGCGGTGGCCACATCCTTAGAAAACAGAGAGGACATGGAGGCACAGGAGGGAGACAAAATGAAAAAGAAGCAAGTGTCTGGGAATGCTGGAGAAACTGATCAAGAGGTGATGTACTTTTTCTACTCCTAAGGTTTAGCTTTAGTTTGAAGAGATGGAAAATTACTCAGCCAGGTATAATAACAAAGGATGGCATCTCTTGTAACTTTGGTTTGTACCTGGAATGAGTCCAGTGTCTAGTCATTTAAACCATTCTCCTAAACTCTCATTTCATATTAGTAAAACCAGTTGCATATGCCATTCTTCAGTCTCACCTCCCCCACCCAGGTACTGTGGACTGAACCCACAGGTGCTTTGCCACTGAGCTACATCTCTAGCTGTTTTTATTTTATTTTTTTAAAGAGAGAGAGAGAGAGAGAATTTTTTAATATTTATTTTTTAGTTCTCGGCGGACACAACATCTTTGTATGTGGTGCTGAGGATCGAACCCGGGCCGCACGCAACCCGGGCCGCACGCATGCCAAGCGAGCACGCTACTGCTTGAGCCACATCCCCAGCTCCGTTTTTATTTTATTTTGAGACAGGGTCTTGCTAAGTTGCCCAGGCTGATCTTGTGCTTGCAATCCTCCTACCTCAGTCTCCTGAGTACCTGGGATTATAATAAGCATGGGGCACTGTGCCCAGCTCATTCTTTATTCTTACATTTGTGTTTTTGTTCATAATTCCCTTTCATTTTCTTTTATTTTTAGGCTCCTAGGATTTTATAGCTATAAGAAATCTTGTAGGTCATCTAGGGATCCAAGGTTCTTGTGTTACAAATGAAAATATGAGACAAAGGGCAACCCCCATTGGGTCCTTTCTCACCCTGCAGGAGTTCTATCTCTTTTCTTCTCACTTGACTAAATCCTACTCTTTTACACTCAAAAAAAAAAAAAAAGCAAAACAAAAACCCCACCACCACACAACAAAAAATGAACAAATTATTCACCTCCCCACTGTGGCCAAACCCAGGACCAGCTCCTGTGGCCCTGCTCTAAATCTGAGCTCTATCCCCAGCAGCATAGAGATTGCCAGACCTTTGATAAGCTCATATTCAGGACCCCAAATGACAATAGGCACATGCTTTCCCATCACATGACTGTGGCTCCTGGGTGTTTTATAGAGAGAGTAATACATGTTATCAAATAATTTTGTGTCAATGTAGATTTTTACAACCACAGAAATATAAAAATGTGATCATGATGGATTATTGTTGCTTTCTTTTTTATTAATCAATTTATTTATTTATTCTAATTAGTTGTGTATGACAGCAGAATGCATTTTGATTCATTGTACACAATTGCAGCACAACTTTTCATTTTTCTGGTTGTACACAATACAGTGTCACACATGTACCTAGGGTAATGATGTCCATCTCATTCCACCATCTTTTTTTAAAATAATTTTTTAAAAATATTTATTTTTTATCTATAGTTGGACACAATATCTTTATTTTATTGATCTATTTGGTATGTGGTGCTGAGGATTGAACCCAGGGACCCGCACGTGCGAGGAGAGCACTCTACGGCTGAGCCACAATCCCAGCCTCCATCGGTTTGTTTGTTTGTTTTTTTTTAATACCTTGATCTTACTTACTTACTTATTTATTTATTGTGTGGTGCTGAGGATCAAACCCAGGACCTCGCCTGTGCTAGGCGAGCACTCTACCTCTGAGCCACAACTCCAGCCCCCATCTTTTTTTTAATATTTATTTTTTAGTTGTAGTTGAATACAATACCTTTATTTATTTATTTATTTGATATGTGGTGCTGAAGATCGAACCCAGGGTCCCGCACGTGTGAGGTGAGCACTCTACAGCTGAGCCACAACCCCAGCCCCTCATTCTACCATCTTTCCTGCCCTCATTCCCCTCCCCTTTGCCCAAAATTCCTCCATTTTTTCCATGTCCCCCCATTATGGATCAGCATCCACTTATACACATTCACTCAACAAATATATGAAAAAATGTTCAACATCTCTAGTAATTAGAGAAATGCAAATCAAAACTACTCTAAGATTTCATCTCATGCCAGTCAGAATGTCAGTTATCAAGAATACAGACAACAATGAGTATTGGCGAGGATGTGGGGGGAAAGGTACACTCATACATTGCTGGTGGGACTGTAAATTGGTGTAACCAATCTGGAAAGCAGTGTGGAGATTCCTAAGAAAACTTGGAATGGAACCACCATTTGACCCTCTCCTCAGTCTATACCCAAAGGACTTTAAAACAGCATATTACAGTGATGCAGCCACATCAATGTTTATAGCAGTTCAATTCACAATAGCTAAACTGTGGAAGCAATCTAGATGCCCTTCAATAGATGAATGGATAAATAAACTGTGATATATATACACAATGGAATATTATTCAATACTGTTGCTTTCTTACATCATTTAGAAATACCTTTTCTGTGTCTCATTCACAATGTACATAGAACCTATATTTTTAAAAGCAGGACTTGTCATGTTCATAAATTGATCACTTATACTACTTGTGCCATTTCTCTGTAGGGTGAAAAGTTGAAGATAACACACCTACCTCTCAATAGAGTTTCTTCAGATGTTGAAAACTCAAAAAGACCTTTAAAAGGAGTGACATTTTCTAGGGAAGTAATTGTTGTGGATCTTGGTAATGAATACTCTGCACCTCGAAGTTACACTCGAGAACATAAAGAGAGAAAATGAAGCTCAAAAAAAGCTGAGAATGAAAAAAATATAATCTTTGACTAACATTGAAATGACTGAGTGTACCAAGTCATGTTGAAACAACAAAATAATGGGAATTAAGCAAATACAGATGTTATTTTACCTTTGTGTAGAAAGAAGTGTGAGCCACATACAGAATTCTGTAAGTAAAATCCTTAGGCTTGAATATAATTTTCCAAAGACTCAACTCTGAGTTCAATAAACAAATTGTATTAAGCATTCTTAAAACTGTGCCTACTCAAACACTGTCCTAACATGTGAATAAAGTTTTTTATGTTTGTGCAGATGTCTGTTAGGTAAATCATATTGAAGGAGTACTTTTTTTTTTTCCTACCAGGATTAAACCCAGGGGTGTTTAAGCTCTGAACCACATCCCTGCCCTTTTTAATTTTTTTATATTGAGAACAGGGTCTTGCTAAGTTGCTTAGGGCCTTGCTAAGTTGCTGAGGCTGGTGTTGAACTTGCTGTCCTCCTGCCTCAATGCCTGAGCCGCTGGTATTACAGGTGTTTGCCACCACACTGGGCTGAAGGAACACTTTTAAGGAAATACCTGTTCTAGTATTCCTATGATCCCAGGTATTCATGACCAAGTAACATTGCAGATGTTGTTATGGAAGCTTCCAAAAACGAGGGTAGGTTCTCTTTTTTTTAAAATATTTATTTCTTAGTTGTACACAATACCTTTATTTTGTTTATTTATTTTTATGTGGTGCTGGGGATCGAACCCAGGGCCTCACATGTGCTAGGAGAGCACTCTACCATTGAGCCACAACCCCAGCCCCAAGGGTAGGTTCTTTTACTGTGTAATACCTATTGAATTCATTCCTGAAACCTTTCTTGTATTAACAGCTGCTTTTTAAGATTGGTCCAAAAAACAAATTACTATCAACAACAAAACATCCTATTATTTCAAAGAAGTCCTGAGATGATACTATTCTTGATTTCAGTAGTTTAAAATGTATTGTCCATATGTGGAATATGATAGTTCAGACCTGTATGACATCATTCAATCCACTGCAGTAAACATTTGTGTTTGTGAAATATATAAGGGGCTATGAGATAAATAAAAATCAGAAAAGTTAGCCCTTGATTTAGGGCATAGCATATTGTCATATATATGGCATATGACCAATAAATGTTTGTTGAATGATTTGGAGCATATGTGATAAAATAATTTAGAATGTGTGACTAATGCCAGATTGGTCTTAATGATACCCTTAAATGGGAAGAAGTCCCTGTGGATGGGACTATTCCTCTGAGAGGAGGAGGAGTGACCTAATCAAATGGGAGGATTAGCTTATCAAAGCAAATGTAAACCAAGACAGAGAGATGAAGGTGTATGTGGAGTTTGGTGGTGGACACCAATAGCCAGAGCTGAAGGTTAGTGTCAAGAAGAGTTGAGAGTAACAGTGAGGACTAGTGAGAAACAGGAAGGTTCCTGTTAGGATTCCAGGGTTGGTTCAGGTATGGGGGAGAATGGATTAAAGCAATCTGGATTGTGGGTGAGGAGGGTCTCCAGAAATATTCTGGGTTGCTGAGTCCTCGGCAAGGATTTTAAAATTTTTTCACCTGATGATAATAAAATTATTATTATGGTTAAATGTACATATAATTTGCCATCTTAAGCATTTTAAGTGTACAGTTCAGTAGCAATAGATATATTCACATTGTGCAACCATCCTTACTATCCATCCACAGATCTCTTTTCGTCTTGCAGAAGTGGAACTCTGAGCCCTGACACTAACCCCCTGGCAGCCAGGATGCTGCTTTGTCTCTCAGAATTTGACTACTTTAGGTGCCTCGTATAAGTAAAGTCAGATATACGTGTCCTTTTGGTTCTGGCTTATTTCACTCATCACAATGTCATCAAGATTCATTCATGTTATCAGAATTTTCTTCCCTTTTAAGCCTGAATAATATTCCACTTGTACGTTTTTCATATTTTATTTATCCCTTCACAAATGAATATTTGCAATTTTAATCTAAGAAAGTTCAGACTTACCCAGGTAACTATTTTAAGCTGTGTGTTTCATGGTTTCATTGCCCATATGTGCCTCTGTATTTAGGGAACCAAGTTACTTTGTCCTAAGGTGATAACAGAGGAAGAAGAATTAATACCCAAATGGTGTGCCTATGTGAAGGGTTAGCCAATTCCCCGGTGCTGACTGTACTAACCAAGGTATCATGAAAGTTCCAGTTGAGGCAAATGGTGAGAAAAGTGGCCATCAGTTCCTGTAGTAGCATAGGCACAGAGAATTCCAGAAAACCACTGAGATTATAGTGTGGTCCGCAGAACAGCATCTGACATTAAATGTTCATTGAATTTTATTGGTTTTGAGCTGTTGTTTTCATTTGATTTGTAAACTTGTTTTGCATCAAATGAAAGCTTCAAGAGCCAATGGCCAGTTTTGTGTTTCTACATGGTTTTATGTAACACAGTGATAAATTGAAGGCAATAATGGTTGGCAGGGGTATTGCTCGAGAACTTTCCTCTAGAATTAGGTTATTGAAGAGGAGCATGTAGGAGGTAAGTGGAGATGACTATAATGACAATGCAAATCTGAAGGATTTGGATCTGGAATCTAGTGGACAGAATGCAGTGAGAATTTGAAGAATTCTTGGTTTAATGTGGAAAAAAACGAGAGGAGGACACAAAGGCAGCTCCTGAGCTTGGATACTTCTCAGAGATGGGAAAGTCCAGATGCTGTGTCCTTTTAGCACTCAGTCTTGGAGGACTCCTTGTATAATTTCCTCACATTCTGTTGGTTAGAAGAAAACCACCAGGTTTAGTCTGCATTCAAGGGCAAGAAATTTTCATTTCTGTAGCTGTCCTTGTAAAAGACCATGAGCTCACATCAACACATCCAATTTCAGTCCAGTAGGATTTATTGTAGCTTCACCTCCTTTGTTTCTGTAACTGTGTTCCTCAGCATTGAGAAATCTGGCTTCTGTTATGTTCTACTTATTTGCTTATTTAGTTGCCTGAATGTTAAGAAAGGCTTTTAAAAAAGCCACAAAAGGATGATTTTCTTATTTTATGAAGAAATGCTTCAAAACATTCAGATGCATGAGGAATTTTTTTCCTTCAAGCATTACCTACTTTTAAAATGGACAAAGTGAAAAATTGTGCTCTATATGTGTAATAAGAATTGTAATGCATTCCACTGTCATGCATAAATAAAAAAATTAATAAAAATAAAATGGGCAAAGGTATAGGGAGAAAAACAAATGGCCAAGACACCTGGAGCTGGGCTTGTAACTCCATGGTAGAGCACTTGGCTAGCAGGTGCAAGGCCCTGGTTTCAATACCCAGCACTGAAAAAAAAAAGAGAGAGAAAACTTTAAATGCTCATTCTGATTTATTAATTAAAGCTAAATTAAAACATGATTTTTTTATCTATCAAACTGTCAAATATCAGAAAGATGGATGATACTGGTAAAGGGAGAAAAATGGGGAAAGGCATTCTTATGAGATATATCTCAGTATAATTCGGTAAAGGATAATTGGGGCATTTATCAAAATTAAAAGTGAATGAATGCAGGGGCTAGGGTTGTGGCTCAGTGGCAGAGTGCTTGCCTAGCACATGTGAAGCACTGAGTTCGATCCTCAGTACCACATAAAAATAACAAAGATATTGAGTCCATGCATAACTAAAAAAATATTTTTTAAAAAAGCCTATGCACCTTTGGACCCAGAGTCCCTCTGCCTGGAATGACCCTATGATATACTTGCAAACCTATACTGATGTCTAAACCTGCTTACTTCCACCAGAGCAAGGCTCAGGGAAAAAGAGAGGGAGCGTGCAAGCATGAGTATGTTTTAGTGCTAGCAAGAAGACATCCGTCACTGGGTGTGGTGGCACATGCCTAGAATCGGGAGACTGAGGCAGGGGGATTGCGAGTTCAAAGCTAGCCTCAGCAATTTATCGAGGCCCTAAGCAATTTAGTGAGACCCTGTTTCAAAATAAAAAAGGGCTAGGGATGTGGCTCAATGGTTGAGTATTCCTGGGTTCAATCTCCAGTATCAAAAAAAAAAAAAGACAGTAGTCTTTTGGTAACTTTGATAACTAAACATTCCATCGCTGTTGCTTTATTCTATTCATTGGAAGCAAGTCGGGAGGTCCAGCCCACACTCAAGGGGAGGGAATTATGCAGGGACATGAATACTAGGAGACAGGGAAAGGTGAGTGTCATCTAAGAGGCTGCCTTCCACAGAGACTTGGGAGGGTGCTGCCCCATGTAACTGGGGAAAGCAAACATAAATCCTCTCTGGGTGTACTTCAGCAAAAGTTAAGAACCATCATCAGGTACTGCCTGTTGAAGATACTCTCTGATTTCAGAGCTATTAAAGTGTATGTGCTATTAAAAAGGAACTTAATAAGCTTTAATTTTAACTTTATACCCTTTCTATCATATGTTAAACAAAATAAATAAAGTATCTGTGCTATATGGTCCTGACAGAGGGAAGAGTGACTCTCTGGGATATCAGCAAGGTTTTGAAGAAGAAAAATTTGAGCAAAGCCTGGGTGACGGAGGCAAGGGTAAACAGGGCGCACCAGGCAGAGGGTCCTGGATGTGGGAGGGCACAGGTGCACTGGAGAGCTCCAGAGCTGTCTTCTCAGCATGGTGCCAGCAATGGAACAGCTCTAGATGTGGGGCAGGGAAGGCAGGCTGGGCCAGACCTGGAGTGAGCCTTGCTAAGGGGTGGATGGGACATGTCATTGAAGAATGTAAAAGTACAGCAATTAGGAAGAACTGTAGGGAAAAGAGACTAACAGGGACAGAGGACCATTAGGAAGACCTTACAAAGATACAAGCAACAAAAGGTGATAACCAGAAGCAAAATAAGTTGGGGTGAGACAAAGAAGAATGACTTGAGGAATACGTAGGAGACTAAACAGGAGGTCCAGTCAGCTGGGAGGGATGAGCAAGTGGGCTCAGAGCCCAGCTGGGTGTGAGCCCAGCCTGCTGCATGGATGGTGCTGCCTCTAGTTGTGCAGGAGCTCTGGGGAGGAGGGAGGGCAGAGTCACTGCCCATCCCAGCCT